CATCGAACAAGAACGTTCTAGCCTTCTTGTTTTCATCTTTTATAGGCTCATCTTTACTCGACGATCTAGGCTTAGCCATTATAGGACAAGTATACACGTCTCTTTTGATTAATTCGGCCAAACACATTTCGGTTTGATTGTAATATTCGTCTTTAATGGTATGAACATCAAAATTTGGGTCTCTATAATAAGTCGCCTTGCTAGAATTTTTCATTTGCTCTTCTTCTCTTATTAATCATTCATACCTAATCACATTTGCGCTCAATTGGAAAAGATCAGAAAATTTCCTGTCTTGGAATTTCTTTTTCAAATCAAAGTTTAGACAACTTTGAGCGATTTTAACAAACTCCTTTTCGGGTAAAAGTACAAAACATTTACTTCTTGCTGTCTTGAACCTTTGAAGGAAACCTTCTGCCCATTCGTTTGGCATTTGACGTAGATTCGCCAAATCGGTGAAAGTAACTTCAGACTCAATCTTATAAAACTGAGTATGGAACAATTACTCCAATTGTTGTTATATTTGAACAGAGTTTGCTGGCAAATTGATGAACTAAGAGAAAGTTACTCCTGTTAATGAACTAGGGAACAATCTCATTTTTTGGTAGTCGGTTACTTCACCACTTTGCAGTGTGAATCGCCCTATGTGTTCTAGAGTAGACACCTCTCATAACTCGATAAATAATGAGAATTTTGGCACTTTATACCCTCGAAACCATGGATATGCTTGGTCTACCCAATCAGGGTATGACTTTGTAAAAGTCGGCCTAATGACAGGACGTACCCCAAAAGCCATTTGATCATGTACTATTTCCATAATTTGATTTCTGAACATGACGTTAAGGTCATATGAAATTCGTACAGGTTGGTTGATCGGTTGATTTGCCTGAGGCTTGATGTTTGGTCCTTGGTTGGCAACAAAGTTGCCATGATTTGGGCCATGTTACCATTAGCCTGAATATTTATTCCATCATTGATACGTGGGGTATTCTGTCCATTATTTAGGACATTATCTCTTATATTTAGGTTACCCCCCAAGTTAGATGTACCACCATCCCCTGGTTTGAAGTATGTGGACCAAAAGGTGGTTCTATCCCTTGATTTAGACTTAGGACTGGGGAATTATGTCCCACGATTGTCCTAGTTTGAAAGTGATTTGCAATAGGCACAACTGGCTGACAAATTTGGTCTACTAACTTATTCATTATTTCATTTAATATATTCAGTTGTTTGGCCATATTGTCATAATGTGCATTCCCATTCTGAGTAAATCTTTCCATATTATGAACATTTCGTAGATTTACCTGTTCAACGACATCCCGTGTGAGTTCTCCAAGTAATGTACGCATGATTCGAGGACTCAACTCTGTCATTGGTTCGTAACGACTGTAACTGCTTTGACTCTGTCCCTCTGTTCGTGGAGAGCTTTGCCGCTCCTCATATCGCTTGATTACAGACTGGACTCCTTCCTGACTTGCTGCTTCCTTATCAGATTTGTGAGGCATATTGTTTCACCGTTTGTATCTTCAACACCAAACGCCATGGTCCCACTGGGCGTGCCAAATTGTTTCGCGCGAGTAGTAGCTAACAATTAAAAAAGGGATCAGACAATTGTGTAAGGAACAAACCTCTTGAGACGAAGTCCTAATAATGGGTGTTTTATTGGCGATGATTTACAATTGGAAATAAACAGAATGCCTCCAAGGGGCGCAAGCACACGAGTACTAAAAGAAATGTTTAAGTTTAAACTAAGAAATCGAAATTACATATTCTCTATTTGAGAGTATTTGATTCAGGGTCCTTTTTTCTCTATGTCTTTTCTTCCTTTTATATTCCTTTGATAACTTCTTCGTGACAAACCGTATGAAAATTGCTTGATTGCTGTATAACTACCCACTTTATTTATGGTGGCTAACTTGTCGTGGAACTGCCATCCCTAACTATTGCCATTACTATTTGTCGTTCAACCGCCTTCAACTGGGCTCCTTGAATCATGGAATGTGATAAGATCACTCAATAACTGTTTCAATAACTGCTATTCTGGATAACTATAATATTTTATGCTTGCTAAGATCCTGGGCGATTCGAAGGTTTGAGCGAGAATGGGGTCATCGCTCTGGGTGATCGTAAGGTATTCTATTCGCTCAGATTCTGAGCGTCTTGCAAACTTGGACGATGATGTTACCGTGTTCGTGAGCTTCCACTGCATTCATCAATAATCCTGTTTGGACCTTTATCTTAGATTCCCCAATTGGGCTTCACTCTTTGGGATATTTGATTTGGACCGCACTTTTAGTGTATCAACAATAAGCAAGTCAAATCTTTAGCTTGCTTGATTTCCTATCTTTCCAATGATATATTATTTGTTTTGTGAAGATCTATATATAAAGATGACAATGGGGCGAGCAAGCTTGTACCCACGAGCTCGGCTTGTTAAAGTGACGAGCCAAGCTCAAGCTCGCTCAGCTCGTGCTCTGCCCCAAGAGCTCAAGATTTTTTTAATTTTTAAATTTACCAAACGATGTTTGGTCACTTTTTTGATGAGCCCACGACTTGTAAACTTTATGCTCGTGAGCACCTTTCTCAGCTTGTACCTGAGTTGCTCATGGGCCAAGCTTTGACAAGCTAAGTTGATGAGCCAACGAGCTACTCGATCATTTTATCACCCCTATTCATATAACAAAACTTATGCACCAATTTCCTTTCATGCTCGGCACATGGTTCCTCATTTTGTCTCTTTTGGTCATTTTATATTCAAATTTTATATTTTTATTAATTTTTGCATCAATCATCTTCATATTTAAGGTTTAACCTATAAAAGTAATTTATACACTATATTAAGTTAAACCAGCTTCATCCATCAATATTAAGCATATTTAAAATTCGAGATAAACGTGTAAAACACACTCATCACTAACTTTTAAGAAATTCAAAATTTTGTGTACATTAAACCTAGAATTGAGTCTATATTTCGTAAATAATGGATTAAAGGGAATAAACATCCTGAGCAATTCGAGACTTTGCTGACAACTTAACACTTCATTACAAACGTAATGTTGATTGACAAATCTCATTCCCAAACCTCAAATTTTATGACCACTTGTTGACACGGCATATTTTGTGAAATTTGGGAGTTAGCATTAACTAGGTAGTTGATATAAATGGAAGAATTCTTGAATTTTAAATGAATTTATCACAAATGTCAAATCACAAGTAGATTCAGTTCCTGTTTTAATAACATTATTTAAAAACTCATTTCTACAAAATCTTTTTCATCTATACATTCTCTTAATAAAATAATTTTACATATAAGTTTAAAAAAATTTCATACTCTTTTACTATACATTTTTCAATAAAATCATTATTATAAAATCTATTTTCCCAACAAATGGGACTTAAACAAACCCTTAATATTTTCACAACGCGAACACGAGATTTCCATTTATACTTATCCAATTCGAGCTAACAAATTCATAGTTTCCAATTGAAATTTCTAGATCTCAAATAAAATAAATAAATAATAAATTAATTAATAATAGTAATAATAAAATCACGTTTTAGCCCTTATTTGACAATTATTATACGAAAACTCTTTTTTTACGTACTTATTTTTAATTATATATTCACACAATAAAATATTTTGCATGTAAATTCAAATTTTTTCTACTTTTTAACTATAGATTCTCCTAAAAATTACCATTCAAAACATTATTTTGGCCAAATAATGCCCATCAAATAGGGCTTAGGTAAGTTGCCTATTTGTAATCTAGATCTCCACATTGGATAGATCTTGTGTTTAGCTCTAGTATGTATTATTAATTCGTTAAAGTGATGTTGCACTTACAAAATTTTTCTAAAAAGGTATTATGAGCCTGTTTAGGATTGATTTTGAGAATTGATTTTTTGACTGTTAGGAGAAAAGTGGGGGTTCACTTGTGAGAGAAGAAGTCAAATATGACGGTTGAAATAGTGAAATAACGATCAAAAAATCAATTTTTTAAAGGAAAAAATCGCTCCCAAACAAGCTCGTTCTCTAGATTTCTACATCAATATTGTGCATTAGAAAATCTTAAGCATATAAATAAATTGGCTATTTTTACTCTGTGTGTGTGAGTGAGTTTTATTTTTATTATTATTATTATTATTTTTTTAAATGGTGACTTTTGCATCCAAAATTGGCCACATTTCAAGTCTATCATCCAATTTTGACTATAAATCACGATTGCCCATCAGTTTAAATGCATTCATGAAAAACTATGTAAACACACAACATTTAAATCACAAAAAGGTGAACAAGAGAAATATAATCACAACATTGAACCTATAAACAGAGTTTTAGTAATAAGTTACAAGCAAATAACGATGACATAAAGTCATCAAGTAGTTTATTCTTTGGATGATACAAATAAAAATAATGATATCTAACACAACTAGTATTATAACACCAATTTACGTGATGCTATGTAAAAAATTTAATTAAACGATGCAGCATTAATATCATCTAAATCGATGTTTTAGTACCAATAATTCACGTTATGAATTATACTACAAGTACAGCACTTTGATATCATTATTGACAATTTTCTCACATACAAAGGGCCTGTTTGGGAGCGATTTTTCACCTAAAAAATTAATTTTTTGACCGTTATTTCACTATTCCTGTCCGTCATATTTGATTTCTTCTCTCACGAATGGACCTTACTTTTCTCCTAATGGTCAAAAAATCAATTATCAAAATCACTCGCAAACAGGCTCTTAAAGTGGAGTTCATGATTAAAATAATTACAAATCCCACGTTTGTTAGTGGGATGTCAAAAAGAATGTACAACACCTACACAGATACAGGACCGTGATAGCGAGCTAACCCTAAAACATTTTAGAAACTACTATTTGTCTTAAATTTATGATAATCTTTCTAAAGCGACAATGCATCGAACGCTTGACCAGTCATTGCCTATTTGCGCACATAACATTAATTTACTTTCAAACATCCTTTGATTTGTCCTTATCACGGCCCCGTCCCATAGGCAACCCCACACTGTGAAATGATAAGATAGACTCCCTCGAAAGTCCACGGGAACGACACTTTCAACCGAATCTCACCCAGTAAAAGCACGCACTTTTCTCGTCAACCCGTTCCAAGAACACAAGAAAAGTGAAAGTTTACTCCTACTGATATTCACTCTTCGTATTTTGCACAAAAAGTTAACTACTGTAACAAAAACGGTTCGAGTGTTCTGTTATATACGGATTAGTGCAGTGTTTTTTTGGGGAACAAAATGCAAGATCCAAATTCTAAGCATTTTTCAGGACCAATGAGGCCAGCCCACCACCGGAGGGCACATTCAGAGATGAACTTCCGGCTCCCGGAGGACCTGGATCTAGGGTCGGACACGTTCGACCCGCGGGCTGGAAGCTTTGAGGAGATGGGATCGGAGGACGATTTGTTTTCTACCTACATGGACATTGAGAAACTAAGTGCTGGTGGCGGATCTGGAATGGGAGAAAATGTTTTCGACAATGCTGGTGGTTTTAGTGGTGGTATAGCGACGGAAGGCGGCGGCGATGGGGAGAAGAGTAGTGGAAATGGTGGTATAGCTAGGCATAGGCACAGGCATAGTAATTCGATGGATTCGAGTCTTTTTTCTGGTGAGAGCAGTATTGAAGCTAAGAAAGCAATGGCTCCTGATAAGCTTGCTGAGTTATGGAATCTTGATCCTAAACGTGCCAAAAGGTAGCCTTTTTATATTTTGCAAATCTGTTTTGCATACTGATTTATGGGTTTTATGTACAATTCTATTCCCGATTTGAATTCTTGATGTCGATGTTAATGAATTTCTTTGCATTTAGTTGTGGGACTGGAGAGATCTTGAAATGGACAGTCTTAAGCATAATAAAAGTCGAAAATATTGTTCATTTAATTGTTGTACGCCGCATATGGATCATGCCTCTATGGGATTGAAGAGATCTTGAAATGGATCTTTCCTTGGGAATGTAGAGCTTTCTCAACTCAAGTCGACTGATTATTGTTGTATGTTCAATTATCTTAAGCATATATTCTTCAAAAGGGTGGGGGGTTTTTCATTTTTACTTTAGATTTTTCGATAAAAGAATGATGGCCTTGGTTTTGCTTTGATTGGTTTGTAAAGTGATATATGTGTCAATTTAATGGAAGCATGAACAGGACCTTACTTCATCGTCAAAATCATTGGATCTAAAAGCTTCCGTGGCAAGAATCAACACAAATAGTTAATCAAGAGCAATAATGCAGTCACTTTTATGAATCATTCAACCCAAAAATCTGAGTCAAACCCTCAAATCTAATATTGTATATAAGAGGAGGTGATCAAGCTTTGAAGGCCACGCCTAACATTCATCTATTTCTGAAAATATTTTATTCCTAAAAATTTGATTTCCTTGGAGTTTTATAAGAGGCAGGGGTCGAACAAAATAAGCCAAATTGCAGTTTATCTGGAATAAGGCTTAGCTTATTGTGGATAACTTAACTTTTCCTATGTAATCTATTTTTTTTTTCCTATATATTTTAAATGTCTAAAAAAGCTATGATAATTCTATTAGAAGGTAGGTTGGATATATCTGGCTACTATATATTTTATTTCTGCATTTATCTGTGAACTCAATATGCCACTGCACCATGAAAACTTTTGGTTTGGCTTTGACCAAGTGCAGTCTTTCTCAAAATGTCTGAGAAGAGTTGGGCATATGGAAGGAAACACCTTTGTGTCCCTATTTGTTGTTTTAGCATGCTCAAAGTTGGACTAGAAGAAATTTATGTAATAGTTGACTGTACACAAGTTTGGGTTTTCCCTTTCTTTAATAAATTTATGTTTCTAAATGAATATATAGGATCTTGGCCAATCGACAATCTGCTGCTCGATCAAAAGAGAGAAAAGCCCATTATATGTCTGAACTTGAGAGAAAAGTCCAAACTCTGCAAACTGAAGCAACCACTCTTTCTGCTCAATTGACACTGTTTCAGGTATTTCTTCAAGAACTTGTCTTTCAGTTTGTAGACTTCAGCTCTGTGCTTTAGCCAATCAGAGAACATGTTCTTATGTTATTGTGCATCAGATGGAAATGGTTCTGCAAATTCAGATATTTGAGTTACATCCATATTCAAGTCATTTAGGAACAGTCAACACTTATTATTATTACTAGTTATCTCATTATATTGTAACCTGCCAATGTTGTATCTACAGCAGCCATTGATTTAGCTGATATAAGTTCCTCCACATTCTCAGCTTGGGAGAGATCTAAACCACCACTTAGAAAAACACAGTGTGAACTCGCCTAACAGATTCAAAGGAAATATCATTATGCTCGATACATAATATTCCAAATTCATTGCATCTGCACAATAATATAGGGGTGCTTGAAAGTGGATAAATTAAACCCAATTTTACATCCAGTGAATTTCCATTCTATAGGACCCAAACTTCAAGAAACTATATCTGTTTCAAGCCATTCCTTTGAGCTAGTACCATGATCTAAATAGCATTCATGGATTAATTTTTCTTTTGTACACGCTCAACAATAAAAGCAGTGTAAAAAGAAATTATGTGAAATTGACAAACTTCCCATAAAATGTTTAAAAGGAGAAAGCAAACACCGAGGTCATTGTGAATCTTCATCTTTAACAAAACCCAGAAAGAATACTCTGAAAAATTCCAATGCATGCAATAAAAAAAAAGGACAGAAAATTAACGGGTGAAACTTCAAATGAAGTGCTCAATTAAAACTCAGCATGCCTTATTCCATTTGAAAACTTATAAATTTGTAAAAATAATTTTCTCCTCTTTTCTTAATTTTACCTTTTTGGGTTCCTCTCTATTTGTGCTCAGAATTAGATCTGAAACTTTCAAGAAGTCACACTTTTACTCATGCTTAATGAAGGAGAAAATGGAGAAAATGAACTGTAGATACACATAGAGAACAAATCACCGGAATTTGAAGCTTAGCCAAAAAAGAGAACAGATTCCCACAAATTGTACTGAATTTGAAGCTTAGCCAGAAAAGAAAACAGATTCCCAAAATTTGTGCTCAATTCTTCATAGATTTTTAGAACTATTTTCAAATCTAGAAAGAAAGAGGAAAAAGCGAAGCCTTTGGTGAATATTAGAAAGAGAAATGAAAAAGGATGCTTATCTTTTTTAGAAGATGAAAAGTTCCCATATGAAAACCCACTGACTTCCAAGCAGCTCAATTAATCTGGCTCAATTCAAAGTGGCTTAGACCACAAATTTGGCTTGTGAACAGTAATTCACAATTGCCTCTTTTACTTTTAGTTAGATTATTATTATTTTTTTAATACTTTGATTGATACTTGATAGTGAGATTCAGTTACAGTGCCAAGGAAAACACAAATAGTAGAGCTCTCATAGCTATGCTGTCTACAAGCAATTTATTGTTTTAGTCTAAGGGTTAAATGACCCTCCTGTACGACTCCCTTGATCATAGTCCTGTTTCATGTCCTGCTGCCTCAGAAAATCAACCCTTCTACTTGGGTGCAAATTTATGCACAATGCACTTGTTTTTCTTTCAAAAGGTTTGCACTAGGTGCAGGCTAGATGTTCAACAACTACATGTCATTAATGAATCAGCAAAAGAGTTGCAACTGATTGTCATGTCAAGATGGAATTCCGGTTTGTTTTCGAAGTTGATAAAAAAGATTCAATGAAACCAAAACAGAGGATTGGTTGTTTAAGCAGAAAGAAAAGAAATATAAGAAGAAACTCCCTGAGCCCAAAGTATCTTCTACCCTATAAATTTGTTATGTTTAACTAGAGAACTATAAAGATAAGGGAAGGAGGATCTTCACTGAAAAAAGAATTGCACACCATAATTTCTTCCAAATTCTGAAGCGAATGGAGTAGCCAAAAAGGATTCATGTGGCTGACTCTACATGTTTAGTCCCTTTTTGACAAAGCTTTTTGTAGATTAAAAGATGCCAAACTTCATTTTTAACCACACAGTTCATTGCATGACTTATCCACTTTTTGACCACGTTTCGGGTCCCAACAGCTTATAATTTCTAAAAGCTTTGTCATTCAAAAAATACAAAGCCTTTCTCAGTGTATGACAATTCTATTGTATGTTACCTGGCATATCCTTGCCATAGAAAAGTTGGAAGTTATTTTCCTTCTAGATTTGTTTCCTTTAACAATGCTTTCTTACTTTAAATGTTGCTTTCCTTTGCAGAGAGATACAACAGGGCTGAGTAATGAGAACACTGGGCTTCATCTTCGGTTGCAGGCCATGGAGCAACAAGCTCAAATGCGTGATGGTAAGTGAAAATTGGTTTATTGTTACATTAGATTGTTAAATAATTGAACAATTGATTTTGATTCCCCGTCTCTAAAATTTGGATGCTGTAAAGAACAACCCCCCCCCCCCCCCCCCCCCCCCCCCCCCCCCCC